AGAGGTTATTTGGGCAAAATATGAAGAAATCCGAAAGTTCGCGACTGTCATCTCATTCTCGGTATTTACAGGAATTGGCTCTTAACTTTATTTATTGAATATTTACGATTTTTATTGTTGATCACATGACCGGTGAAAACAACAATACGGCCGAGTGTCTCAAAAGCCCTTCCGCATACACAATTGTTTCATTCTTTAAGCAACGAAATATATCTCAGTCACAAACTTAAAAGAAATCAAGCATTGATACGTGTATTAGGAAAGTAAAACAAAACGTTTACTGAATCGACAAAAGAACAGTGAAGGAGAAATGTATCCACCATAATACTGCACTGAACCTTTTGTCAAGATCTTCGCGAAGTCTAGTACGAAATATGCAAATGTGTGTGACTTGTGACTTTATCTTTCATTCAAAAGTCTTGATCATTTTTGATAAGAATGAAGCACAAATATCCCAAGTATGTTTTCACAGCGCTCGATACCCAGTCAAACGTCTCTTGACTGCTTTTCGCGCAGTTCCTCCGATGACTCGACCCAGATTCCACTTTGCTCGGTCGTGGTCGCAGAAATTACATCTTCAAACGCCTGTAGAAACGCGGGGATTTTATCATCGAGATATTTTTTTCGCTGAAGTGTTTGGAAAATAAGTAGGCTAGTTGCAGTTTAAATTTATTTGAGGTCTCAATAGGTGCCACGGAGTCTACCGCAATGTTTGAGAAAATTCTTTTGTCACAAATTTACTAGTTTTAATGCCACTAACTCCGAAATGCTTAGGGTGAATATGAACTTTTTGCTCTATAAAAGAATGAAATGTTTCCCCAAAAAACTTTCCGTACACTGCATATATCTTACTGTGCCTTACCCTTTGCAGTCCAATGAAATTGTACGAGATAAATGAGGGATGTAAACAGAGAACGTTTCTTCCACAGCAAGACAACAGTATCGGCCAATGATGGTGTATGGCATCACATCTGTGTATCGTGGGAGAGCAGCTCGGGATCATGGAAATTCTACAAAGATGGTGAGCTCAAACAACAAGGTCAGCTCAAGGCAGGCCATACCGTAAGAGAAGGCGGCTCTTTGGTGCTGGGGCAAGACCAAGACTCGGTCGGTGGTGGTTTTAATGCTGCTCAATCATTTAAAGGAATGTTAGCAAATGTTAACGTATGGGATAAAATACTGTCTGATACACAAATCGAGAGGATGTCAACATCGTGTTCGCTGGATCAATGGAATGCTGGAAACGTATACAGATGGAGCAATTTCCTGCAAGAAGCCCCAGCAAGGCTTGTGAAAAAATCTCCTTGTATGCCGCC